GGGTAAGGTGAGGATGACTTATCCGAAATATTTCTTGTTGGGAGAGCGAATGGAGCGATTTTCTGTGTACCTGCCTGAAGATGAGGGCAGAACTGAAGAGTATAAGAAGGAGTCTCGTAGTATGAATAAGCTTTGAGAAAATAAAGACAGAAAACACACTTAATAAATTTGGTCCTTAAAAGATGATTCATGGAATGTATGATAACTTTACAGGTGTGGTGGACGCTACTTACAAAACTTGTTCTAAGTAATCTTCGGTGGGATGTCTCATGAGAGGTGCTGCACTCAGCATCTCAAAAATAAAGTCTCTGGAAGCCTAAAGGAAAGCGAGTCAAGTATAATTTTGACACTAGAAAAGAAGCCGAAGATGACAGTCCGCAGCCAGCTTGGTTTGCGGAACACACGACAGATGCAAGTGAAAAATTGAAGGCAATGTGTATAGATATAATAAACAATATCTGTCCCTTATTACTAAACATGCATACTCCGGCCGGACTTGGCATGTTCACGCATTATGCAGGTGGGTGAAAAACAGATGGCTTAGAAAGAATTTACAATGCGCATGTAGAGGGAAACAAATTTCCGGAATAGTTTTGTCAGTGTTCGACAGTGATGCCAGACACATTCTAACTGAAGAAGCTCTGTCTCGCATCCGCGCCGAATCACCAGTGGGTACGCTGTGCTGCTCATCCTTTGCAATTACTAGTTAACCTAGATCAAACGCTTCTCAACATATCGACAACCTTCCATACAGAACTTCGAAATCCTTCATTCTTGACTTCTTATTTGACTGATTTGGTACCGTTCTATTATAAAGATATTACGAGCAAAAGCGTTGTCAAACCCTGGATATACGTGGCATCTCTAGGTATACAGCAAGTGCTACTAGTTACCTTCAAATGGCTGGTTATGTATATTGTAGCGGTAAATAAATCCCCAAAATAAATAGCTCTGTAAGTCAAAGAAAAGCCTCAAACGACTCAGAATGACATAACAGAGCTAAGTCATACACTTACGCGTTGTCTCAATTTTCGTAACGACCGTAAGCGATCTGTCTCTAGATCACGAGAGACGGATAACCCCGACTGGTGCTGGTATCATAACCAGTATGGAAAGTCTTCCAGAAATTGCAGAAAACCCTGCAATTTTCCCAACTCAAAACCGATCGACTCGAAAAACAACTCGGGAAACTTCCAAGCCGGCACGCGTTAACGGCAACCGTAGCCGGCGAACATAGCCGTCTGTTATACGTCACAGATGTGACAATGAGAGTTCGCTACCACGTCGACACTGGCTCAGAAGTTAGCGTTCTCCCAGCGAATCCCAAGGACCGACTTCACGAATCGACCCTAAACTTACAGGCGGCAAACGGGAAACCTATCGCTATGTATGGCAAAAGGCCATGAATTCACCCTTTTCACCTCTTAGTTTCTCTTTAAGCTCCTCTTCAGACAAGTACTCACCTCGTAAGTCTCGATAACTGGACTACGTTTCGCAGTTTACTTCAGACATCCAACACATCTCTGGAGCAAACAATGTCGTTGCAGACGCCTTGTCTCGCATAACTTCCCTGAACAGTTCCCAAGTAATCGACCTTATGAAACTCGCTCAGCTTTTAAAAGAAGACAGTGATCTTCGGCACGAGTTATCGTCTACAACTCTCAAGCTATGCACCATACAGATGGGAACGGGTAAGGAAACCTTACTTTGTGACACATCTACAGGTAGGGATCGCCCAATCGTGCCGAAACATTATCGACGCAATGTCTACAATACGTTGCACAAACTTTCTCATCCAGGTATTCGTGTAACCATCAAGCTTATAGCAGGACGGTTTTGCTGGAACGGAACCAACGATAGCATCAGCATCGATCGCCTCAAAGCAGCGTATTTAGAAGGAAATCCTATCTACGTCGATTTTCCTTCGGTACAATCGAACGACACGCCTCCGACACTCATAATACCTAATCCGACAACGAACACGCACGATGATACTTCAAACACTGGATACCTGTGCCATCTTCAATATTACTGCCTAATGCTCACGCAAGCGAAGAGGAACTCATAAGAATTGTAAAAGTGTAGACTAAAACTCAGAATCAATAAGTTTTAAGACAACAAGCTATACAATTGTATACTTTTCCACACGTCAGACTAGTTTACAAGGCCAGTGAGGAGAATCATTAGACATTAGAAGCCGATCTCGACTACGGTAGGATGAGAATTCACATCAATGAACCTTGGAAGTGTGAGTCATCTACTAGTGCCTTATAACAGAAATAAGGTAGAAATAACCAAGAAGTGCAGTAAGCTAACACCTTTAAGGAAAACTTCAGTATCCAGGAGGTGGAAAGTCTGATGCGATAGAAAGTCTTACAACCTAATAATAAACCAATTAAAGTCTTCCACCAATTTTTCTGACAGCTTTTTCATGTCCTATACTAGAGACTACTCTTCCCATGTTACAATCTGATTGCCGTTAACAAAAAGCGACTGACCGATGAATTTATAGTCTTTGGCTTCTGCAACCTTACTGTTTAGGGAGAAATGGGCTCATCTAGCTTTAAAGTATGTCAACCAACAGATAACTTGAACTTCGTTAGTGCTCTTGCTAGACTAACTTCGCTGTACTCCGTAAGTGACTTGGGAACTGCTATATCAAAACGAGAAGTGAATGAAAAAAATAAAATAGTTTGTAATAGTTCAACACATAGAAACCAAATAGTATCGTTTTAAAGACATTGGATGTAGTATAATCGTTGATGTTTTTTGTACAGTTGCGCTACAAATCAAGTTGTCTCTAAGGTCAGTGGGATAACTGCACGAATCCAAATAAGTGTGATTCCGTATCATATCGTGCTCCTCAACTATAGAATTATTTTTATCGGTTCATAGATAAGAGTGAATTGTCATGTCGAATTCTCATAACTTTGCTCGAATTTGAACTGCTTGCTGGTAATATAACCAAAGGTACTTAACATAATATCCATTCCTAACCATATCATAAGTGGGGATCAATCATGTATTGGGTACTGTTTTTTCACCCATTTCCTTAACGTTGCTAGGTCAACCCTCTTTCAAACTTCATTTCATTGTTGCCGTCATCAAGCCTCTGTATATATTTGAAGAGTATCACTTATGGTTCATCTACTTTTGTCCTTGAATACGTTTCTGAACTCAGTATTATATTGTGAAGCCCAAAGTTCATTTCCATTAATCCCATGTACTCATAATGCCAGATTAATAGAGCTAAGTACCTTTTATCATACTCTGAATCATTTCAATAATTGGACGCGCTATGAGTCATTGGAGTTCATGTGCAAATCAGATTAATCCGATGAAGGTTTATTTAGGGGTAATGGTTGTTGCCTAAGAAGATCCTTTTATTGTTATGAATGAGCATCCTCATGTTTCTGATTCTTTTTTGTCAACTGCTGGCCCTAGTTAAGTAGACTGCGGCTATCACCGTAAAACTTATGACGCAGTTAATCGACAGTTAATTCCGTCATCTATAACCTTAACAAGGGTAGTGGCGTACTATGAGTTATTAAAACGATCGTTTTAATAACTTATAATACGCTACTACCAGTTTATAAGCTTAAGCTTGTAAACTTCAACATTTCATGTAGACTGATAAAACTATAGGAGTTTATCAGAATTAAGCAAATAGGACGTTGGTTGTGTATACCCAGGCTGTGTACGCAATAATGATGAGTAGGTGTGAATAACGGCAAGCAGGAGCAATCGATTGGTCTTAAAGGTTAGATGCTTATGATGTCTAAGGGTTATTATCAAAGTTATTCGAAAAACAGATAGTTGACCTCTATAAGTTGTTCACTAATGGTTATGCGATATCACTGGTTTCTAAAGCATTCTCTGCTAATTATCATGCAGTTTTCATTCAAGTTTATTGTCATACTTTATTTTCAGTGCTAACCCATTATGTGGTGGCAGTTTTACATTAATAAAAATGCTGACGTTTTAGATAAAATACGGGTCGTATGTAGTTTTTTTCAAAGTGGTCCTGATTTCTAATCACACAAGTGTACAATGAAAGTCTAAGGTTTTGTTACTGAACGCAGATTTCAGTCACTGGGTTGCTTCTTCGAATTCTAATTTACATATTTCACTACAAAAAATTGTCTAATATCGTTATCTCCCACACAGGAATGTTGTGGCTCAAAGCCAATAACATAGAGCTGTACCCCTATAATAAATAGTATAAATTTCTCTGGTGAAATTTCCGTTCACATCTGCAGTGTTTTAAATATCCACTTCCCTTAATGTACCCAGTGTACAACATAGAAAACCATTAAATATGTTAAACAATAATTCGTAAATTCTGCTATCTGTATTAGCCACTAATAAAGTGATACTAAGTGGATAGTAAACCATTGTGTAATCAAAATTGTTCCATTAAGACCACTGATAGATGTATGTGCAACTTAGTCGCGTATTCTGATTGAAATAAAACTGTACCTCAGAGAACCACAAGAAGACTACACCACTACGTTCGTAAATCCTCAGCTAGTTTTCTGAAATACACAAAAAATAATGTTCACTAAATTAGGGTTACTGTTCCAATATATATGTTTATAAAGGCAATGGATGACAACTTAAAACCACCAGTGCCGTTTTATATATCTTATAGCCTATTTTCCTTTTCATGCACTTTCTTGCTAAGAAAATGAACGACTTAAATCAGTTAACACTGATGACTGTAGTCATCTTTTTATTTACTGTTCTAATCGAAAGCACTTCATAGTCTTTAGTGTTTTGTTTTGACTTGTGCTCTTTTATCACTCGCAATAATTTAGGCAAGCTAGTAATCTCAAACGTTTCCACCCACACAAACTACATCGTAACTTAAAGTAAAGCGGTTTATTTTTTAAAAATTTATTTTAACACATAGATATTGGTACAAGGAGGCACCAAAGACATATGCGCCACACAAATCTCAGTCAATATGTGTGAGGGCTGTGATACTGCCCGGATGCCCAAACCGAAGCAGGTGGTTTTCTTAGGGGGTCACTCCCCGAGCCTTCGACCTGAAGGTCTGTGTAAAATGTAATCGATAGACGAACTCACCAATAATAAAGGGAAACGCCCACCACCACAGTAACTCCCTTTGACCTTGTACTACTGTATCTCTTTATTAACCAATCACAATTTGATGTTCATTGTAAAACAATATTTGCTTGTTGACTCGTTTTTCCTATTCTCTGGCTACTGTTCGGTATGTTATTTGTCTGTTTTTTCCCTGTATTAATAGACCGTACAGTTTGTTTGTACACTAACGATGTTAATTTATGTTTTAGAAACAGATAAAGTTTATCTAGCCAAATAGCTTGCTTGTTCTGACTTTGGCCAAACCAAGACTCTTTATTCGACGGTCTAGAAAATAGCTCAGAATTAAATCTGTAGGAAATTGCTCCCTACAGTCTGATCCACAAGGTAGTGGAGCATCATAAGGGGATGCAGTCCCATGGAAGCCGGTGGCCAACAATTGGTTCATACGTCATTTGTCCCCGCAGGATACTAGAGCCCATGTGCACCATTGGTTTGGAATCAGGTTAAAGCGCTGGATATTCGCTTTTCGTCTTCTCATTTTCGTAAACAACACCCCCGTCACGAGAAGGCAGTGAGTAGGACTTCCCTGGCAGAGGCTATATACGCGTAGCCATGTGAGAGCATTTGGAGAGGGAGAGCGGACTCTCCCCACTCTCGGTCGTACCAGGGCATTTGGGGGCAAAGTAAAGCGGTACTACAGTCGACAAGTAATTCGTAGCAGTTTTATGTAGAGCTAAATAAATAATAGTGAATTCCCAACCGTGCTTTTATTGTTCGTAATTGGTCACATAGGAAAACACTTATGTCCAATGGCATCTTCACGTTGTCCATCTCATACTGTAAGTGTCCACATTTCTATCCGAGAAAGATCAGCTACCTTAGTAATTATCAGTATACGGTTGTGTAGATTGTTGACTTTAAATTGAGATCATGAACCTATCAATGTTAAACCACCACTGAAAAACTGGAGGCATTGGACGGCTGTTTTGTCCTAGTATAAGACGTGGATTGGTTAGTTAGACACTAACATCGTTAGGTGCCGGCCCAATGGTTTAAAGTTTAATCGTTAACGCGAGACCGAAGACCCTGAATTCAAGACCGCGTGTTGGACTTGGGGTGCGCGCTGCTGAGGGGTCCCACACTAGGACGAAACAGCGGTCCAGCACTCTCAGGTTTTCAATCGTGGTCTAACATTCGTCGGTTCGTGATCTCAATTAAAAATACCTTAATAATGACGATTTTGCAAGTCGAAAATTTTAAGTAGTATAGTGATAAAGAGTAGTTTGTTTATAATTCTTTCTAAAGTTTTATTGTGACCATTACCATAAAAAAATATTTAATTTCAAAGACTTTCAAGATAACCAACAAATGGAAGTGGATATTAATGTTGATGTCAGCAATGTGACCTCTGGAACAGGCTCTGCATCAGTGCTCTTACATCCACTTGTTATTTTAAATATATCTGAACATTGGACGCGTAACAAAGTGAAGGAAAACTCTATAGCTGTTACAGTGTATGGAGCTTTGCTCGGGAAACAAGAAGGTCACCATGTTGAAGTATGTATATTTATCTAATCCATATTATCGCTCATCTGACAGATATCAAATTCCTTTGAGTTATTACTTGATGAACCACACATGTCAGTTAACTCTGAGTTTTACAGCACTCGTGAATCTCAATGCAAACAAGTTTATCCAGATTTAGACATAGTTGGTTGGTATACCACTGGTGGTGCTATCAATGAAAAAGATGAGTTATTCAACAGACAGGTACAATCTGATGTCATCTGTTGATGCATATTTTTAGATGCTAGAACTTAATGAATCTCTCCTCATATTAAAATTAGACCCTCTACAAACGTGTGGAGAGAACCTGCCAATCGGGGTTTATGAGTCAGTAGTGGATAACGATGGGAGAGTTCACTTTAGACAGGTACCCGTTGTTTTTATTTTGTTTATGTTTGGTAAACTTAATTTGCTTTAACTTAACTTTGTGGTGTCATTCTATTAGTAGAAGTAACGATAAAACACACCCACTTAGTTTTCCTTTTGTATAACGTTAAGCTATTTTGATGTATCCCATAATGGATATATTTTTCGGATAATAGTGGTTTAAATATGGAGTGACTTTACAGTTCAAATGGTTCAACTTTTAGACCACTCTTATTCCGGTGGCCTGTTATGAATGTCATAGATTAAGAGAACCCAGTTCATAACTTTAATTATTGAGCTTTGTTTAATCGAATAAATAACAAAATCGTTTCGCAGATGTGATTACACTTTATAATTTACAAAACAGAATATGGATAACCCGTTAAATTACGTTTCCATTTAGCATCAATGAATTTCTGCTTAATCATAACAAACCACTTATCTTGCGTCTTACTTCTTAATTGATCACTCTGTTTTTTTCACTATACTCAAGAAATGTTTTGAAAACGTTTATGGCCAAATGCTTACGGCCTGTGTATCTCTTCTACTCTCGTAAACCATCTTTCGTATCCGTAAAGTAGAAAATAGCAAACTTCTGAGGAGTTTACCCACCCTCAAATAGCTAAACGATCTCATCTACCACACAGGTTGATAAATCCCTAATAGGCTTACTGAAGCTGTATTTAGATTTAATCACTCATCAACCAACCAGGACTGATGAAACGTGCTATATAAATTAACTAGCCAACAAGTAGAATAACTCGTACTTGGATCACTTTTTACATTCCATACTTCAGTTTTTCTGTTAGTTATTCTTTATGTTTGTCCCAGCTACTGCGTTTGAAGCATCAGCTCATTTTTATTTCTTAAAATTACTCTGTGCAAACAGATTCTAGAGAGGTATTATTAATATTTACATATACATCATATACGATATGACACCATACTTAGTCACTCGTGTTGATAAATACACTTAATTTCCAGTTCCCTACTAGTACTTTTACTGCTTAAGTTTTGATGATGATTACATATCCGAAAGCCAACCAATGGGTATCTCTTATTTCAGGTACTATATACTTTAGCAACTGATGAAGCAGAACGTATTGGTATCGATTATGTTGCACGTATTTCAATGTCATCTACTGATCAGACTTCATCAATGGTAAATCCCTTCTATTTCTTTGTAATGTAATGGTTTATCAATCTCTAATCACTTATATCACCTAAAACACACACTAACATTAATGTACTAAAACAAATGTTATCTAAATTTCAGCAGTTCAAAAATCCCCATAGGATATCCACAAATGTAGAATATTTGAGCGGACAATTTTTCAATAAATTCATCATCAGGTTCTAAAGTTATAAACATAAAGTAGATATTCATAGTACATTTCAACAGAAGTTTTCTCAAATAAATCAGTACTTACACAACAAATCAAGGATAGGTTACCGATGATGAGCTCCTCCATGTGTGTATGCCAATTCAACTGCTCCAGTGGAGCTAGTTACATAGGCCGTAATCAGAGGGACTTATTCTTGCATGTTCGTGAAAATGTACCAGCATGGTTGGGAAAAGGAGTTACTAAATCGATCAACAGTACTGTTCTTTCTCACTCGGTAGATAATAAACATCATATCAAAGTAGGAGAAGCTTTCTCTGTTTTATATAAAGTTTTAAAAAAATCTACTTCAAAGAGCTAGATTACGGCTACTCTACATAGCTGAAGCCATCTGCATCAACTCCAGAAAAGGTATATCCAGCCTCTATGTTTACCTTGACCTACGACTGGATCACCGGATACCTAAACTAAATATTATAAACCTCTTACCAGCTTCTCACTTTTTTATTATATCTATCTTAATCTTCATGTCCATCTTTCTCAATTCACATGGACCCTTCTTTATCGTAATCACCTTGATAACATCCCTCTTATTACTTATTATATTCACAATTAATTGATCACTGGGCGGTGATCAATGTCATGCGTGTCTAGTCCTTATTACTTATTATATTCACACAACGATATCATTATTATTACGATTGCTATTATCATTATTACCTCAACTAACAAGATGAAATTCCCATACTAATCATTTTATTCACATTATTTTTTTTCATTTTCACGTTTGCTATATTGCTATTATACTGACTGTGACTTCATACTACTCTAAATCATTCTGACCATTATATATATATATATATATATATATATATATATATATATATAATTTCCGGAACAATTTATGGTATAAGTTCAGAGGGCTTTGTTGCTGTGATAGTTTTATGTACTCTTGTTGAGAACCTCTAGATCGTTTGGATCCTTAAGTTTTTGTTAACTGGCATTCGGAATTTCATTTAGACACTTATATCCAATGGTTTTATTGAACTTATTTAAAGGATCTTTTGTCAAAACACTGACTAATCTCTATGTTTTAATGTGGTGCATGCAATCCGCACTTAATCAGTTGGCAATCAGTGTCCGTAGGTATGGTATGTGCTTTGCACCTTCGAAGTGCAAAGTACTTCTACAAGACTGGTAGGATGCTAATCATGTACTCACCCTGGATGGTGAGCAGATAGAAGTAGTCGAGAAGTTCGTGTATCTGGGTAGCTGCATAAGTGCTGGTGGGTGTGTGAGTGATGAGATCAATGCACGTATAGTGAAAGCCAGAGCGGCTCATGCCAATCTGGGCCACCTTTGGCGCCTTCGTGATGTTAGTCTGGCTGTAAAAGGTCGGATCTACAACGCGTCGGTGAGAGCAGTTTTGCTCTATCCTTGTGAAACCTGGCCTCTCCGAGTTGAGGACGTTCAATCATCGTTGTCTCCGAAGGATTGCTGACATCCAGTGGCAACACCATGTCAGTAATGCAGAGGTTCGGCATCGTGTGTTCGGGCACAGAGACGATAATGCAATTGGTGTCACCATCTTGAAACACCGACTTCGGTGGCTTGGACATGTTCTACGAATGTCGTCCTAGAGAATTCCACGTCGTGCATTATTTGCCGACTCTGGGACTGGTTGAAAAAAGCGGAGAGGTGGTCAGTGTATGACATGGTGTCGTGGTATGAAAGAAAGCTGCAAAGGACTAGCTTCTGTCGGTCCTTCACGGCTCCCTGGTTGGGGTCCGAGAGATGGTGCGACACAGTGGCTAGAGACGTTATCAGATATGGCTCAGAATAGAAGCCAGTAGCGATCATGCTGTAACCTTCTTTTACTTTCTTCATAAAAAGTGGTTGTGTCTTCCTTACCTGAAAGATTCCTTCCGATTATACCTTTCCGTCCCCCCCCCATTTTTGCTATTATTATTATTACACTACCTTACACCAATCTGTTCGTTATTGTTCCCCTTTCTTTCACGCTCCTTGCTTTTTTTTTCCTTGTCTTTAAATTCTCATTGTTCTGTGTGGTGCATATATATTGGCGCTCTCTTGGACCAATATTTATGTGTTCAAATAAATAAACAAATAAATAAGGTGCCTTCTAGCTCGAGATGTGTAGTCATAAAAGTTTGGTTCAATGACTCTGTTTAAACATTTTTTCATCGATTACTAGTGTATATCTCTGTATTTTTATTGTAGACTGCGGAACATTTACTAGGAAATTATCAGGCCATTCAAATGTTAAGCAGTCGCCTTCAGCTAATAAGATCTTATGTCGCAGCTGTTGCAGCAGGAGAATTACCACCGAATAGAGCACGACTGAGGGAGATCAATGCTTTAGTTAAACGAATCCCTTTCATGCCTCCTTCAGCAGCCGAACAAAATGACAATTTGTACCGTCAAGCCAATGATGTATGTCTGACAGCATTGCTTGCCAGCATAACTCAAGGTTTACATACACTCTACGGTTGTATGATCAAAACATCTCACGTTATAGATCGCCGATCTATTCCTTTGAGTGTGGGAAGTGGAATTATGGACTCAGGTTCCAGTCGTTTTGCTAAAGTTTCCCACTCAATGGGTAATTCTAATTGAGAAGGCAAAATGTGTATTTTGTGAATAGAGTCAGCTTACGTTATATAAACCGAGAATATATTTCTGTAGTTGTACATATCGACGTCACAATTTTCTTCGATTCACAATACTCAAGAACCATTTGGATAAAATCATATATTTGATTGTACGTTGGCTTGTATATAATCATATACTGTACTGTGGTAACTTGAACAATTCTATGGCCTTTTTGTTTTTGATTCTGATACATAATCTTTGTCACAGCAGAAATTCATCGTCAATTCACTATTTTACCAACAAATAAAGATGATGAAAACCATAAAATGCAAATATAGCTAGAATTTAATTCCATGTCCTAGTGGCTGAAAGTTAAGGGCTAATAATAGTCTCCAAATATCAGAGTTGAGCCATCTATTCGCATATTAGTTTGTTGTTATTTCTATTAATAGTTTGAGCTGGCTTCTCACTTATTTTCAAAAAGACTGAGTAATACTATGCTCATCATAGTGTCAACCATGAAATGAATCTTTTCACTTAGATTCAAAATTCATTTCTGTAACAAACAACTTTCTTAAAGTGTTTGATTCTCACTAATGGATAAACTAAGTAATCAACAAATATAAATAATTTCAATGGTTAAGATCATGAGTCAATTGAAGATAGACCACCTTGGAAAGCCTGGTAGCACTGGATGGCCGTTTCGTCTTAGTATGGGACTCCTCAGAAGTGCGCGAAACGGCCGTCCAGTGCTTCCAGGTTTTCCATGGTGGTCTAGCTTCAATTGACTAATAATCTCAACCATTGAAATTACTATAATATCCACAAAACCCTTCAAATATAAATAGCTTATATATAACACTGATATTAAATGCTATTAGTTCATTTTTACTTTAGGTGTGCCCAAGATAACTATCGTTTCACATTCTGAAATATATAGCACATTCCAGGATCTTAAATTATCTAGAAAAACCTGTCTATTGAAAATTATCATCTGTTACGACTGTTATTTGTAAATTTCTCATCATAAAATATAGTTATATATACTAGTAATCTTCACGGGTAAATATTACCGAAAAGTAAACTCTAGGTGAATACATTGCCAAATATCTCATTATCTTGGAAAAGTTTTTTCCTCGTATGTAGTCACAGTAGTTGATTTGAAGAGAATCCACAAAAGTAATGTATTCACCTGCCACCCATTTCGAAGTCAACAGATACAGTTTCTTATATTTCATAGACAAGAAACTTACTAGATGATTACCAGGCTTTAAATTTCCGGATCTTAGTTTCTCCTGAACGCTACATGAACATTCCACATTTTGTGTAGATTTTTGGATGAACACATCAAGAAAACGTTATGTTCTCCGACTTCTCTGTCCAAAATCCACGGATAGAAACAAACAATTCATTTAACCTTCATATGAGTACCAAATAGTGGAAGAGTTATAGAAGTACGTCTGACCATGTTTATGAACACCGTAATCTGCTTTTGTAGTCTCACTGACCCTCGCTACCCACTTTTTTCCAGCTCTTATGTTTAATGGTATGTCCAAAGTCAAAGGCACCAATAATAAGCTAATAACTGTTCCTTTGCCGTAGTTTCTGGAACCCACCTTTCCTCTATTGTTGTTTCACCATTTTGTGTACATAATTCCACACTAATACATAATGATACCTGAGAACTCTTAGTTCGAAATCGGTGTTGTACGTGTGACCATTTATGAGTCACTTGGATTTTTATCGTGTACCTTCATAACTTGTTACCTAACTGTATGAAAACCCGTACCCTCACACTGAGTTTATCATTTCTGACAGGTTTACACATAGTTGGTTTTATCTTTATGAAATTCAGCTTGCGAAACCCTTTTACCCAAATCACTCATTTAACTGCAGATCCGACCTGTATTGAATCATGACCCACATTGATGCGACTTACTGTCATCAATAGATTTTCCTTAACAATAGTTATTCGTAGTGTCGGGCAAGCAGTCTAACATGTAACCTCACGAAAAGTGGACGCTCTCTATTGGGTCGTTGGTGGTGAGTGAGATGTCTGTCTGTATAGGCTTTGCGATTGGGTTTAATAGAACTACAAAGTAGAAGAACGTCTCTAGAAGCCGAGTTTATCATTTGATCATAAAATTGACCTGCTATTTCAAGTCAAGATAAATTTATTAATCAGTATCAAACTGTACCACACAAGATGGAATCGATTCGTAATATTTTGATTTGTAGTTAAAAATGGATAAAGTTTTCTTCGTATAATGCCAACCCTTAACCTGAGAACTTAATGACTTGATATTTTTAATTTCTAACAACGGATTTTACACAATTTCCTTCTCGACAATTTCACGACTAAAAACAATAATTTAGCTTCTATATATCACTGTAATTTGGTGCCAGATAAAAAGATTTAATTGAATTAGAGTTTGTTTAAAAGTTGGTTCATGGTATCAATAAAAACAAAAATCACAAAAGTTTTGAAAACAAATATATAATATTTCTACAATTCTGTGTTTATTTATAGACTAATAACTGTTAGTTAGATCCAGAGATAGGAATTATCGACCCTCTCCAACCTTCTTAAACTCCCTGTTTCGGAAAATAGTTAAAAGAGCGATATCCAATTATTGGTTCACAAATTCTGACTAGAATTTCTAAGTTATGGTATTACAGTTATTAAATCAATTTGAAAATTAAGATCTATCAACTCTGTGATACCAAGAAAGGAAAATCAATGTATACATCCTTCGTTAGGTGATAAGAGACTTTGTTGAAGCGTCAAATATTCTACTTCGCTTTCCGTTAAAACATTTAGTAATCTGTTACAGAGAATCGAAGTTGTTTTAAGCGTTAATATTGATTGGACTCATGACCTTCCTAATACATCTTCAAATTACGTTCTAGCTGTTTTAAAAACCGTAATCTTCAATTTAAAGACTTGACTTAAATATTACTTACTTAGGACATTTCAGTGTAAACAGTAAATAGTATAATCCATAATAATTCTGACCGTCTTTATCGATTGGTCTGAATCAGTTACACTGAAATCTAAACGACTTTGTGAGTTCATGTTACAAATTGAACGAGGAGAGGATTCAAGACAGTTCACTTCAATTACAATACAACTTAGTATTGGAAAGTTTGGAAACACTGCCTTGCTTTTCCTATTTTCATTTCTACTCGATTTTCAGACAGCAACAACGTAGAACTTCGTATGTACGTACGTACATCAGCTCAAGTTGCCATACCACATTAGCACAGAAATACAATTGTCGATTCAAATCCCATAGTGGTAGAGGAAGTAAAAGTATAAGCAGTAGTCGGAAAGATTAGGGTTTGGAGATGTTATTCAAAGAGTATAATCCAGTGAAATAAATTTGGAAAGAAAACAAAGGACATGAAGAATTCAGAAGATTAGAATTTGAGAGAACACAAAGAGTGTATGCATTGCACCATTGCAAACGATTTTGAGCCATGTCATTCAGGGTCTCTAACCATCGGTTGCTATCATCTCGCGGTCTCCAACCAGGTAGTCTACACCTACCAACATGACTCAGTCCACTTGTCAGTGACTTCATGGACTTGTGCCATGTTTTGGTTTGGCCGCCCCTAGTTTTCCTCCAACCTACTCCTACACCATAAAACATAGCACGTCGGGGCAGTCGGTCGTTGGGCATACGTAACACGTGTCCTAGCCGTCTCAACTGATGAAGTTTCACTACGTCATCAATTGATTTGCCATCCTTACCTAGTACCCGTTTCCTAACAACTGCATTACTTACTTGGTGGTCCCAGGATATCCGAGCAATGTTTCGAAGACACCTATGATCAAATACTAGTAACCTACGGATATCCTCTACTCTTATAGGCCATGTTTCACTGCCATAAAGTAGGACGGAACGAACTGCTACGCAGTAAACACGTCCTTTGGTTGATAGACGGATATCTCGACTACGCCATAAATGACGCAAGTTGGCAAAAGCTAGTCGAGCCTTCTGTATCTGTGCTGAGATTTCGTCACACACCAGACCACAAGGGCTGATGAGACTTCCAAGATAAGTGAAGCGATCGACACGCTCAATTACTTCACTCCCTATCATTAGTTCGGGTGTCCATGCAAACCAATCCTGAATCAACATTTTGCATTTCGAGGGAGAGAATCGCATGCTTGCATTGTTGCTTAGAGTGGTCAGAAGACTGCATTTTGTCAGTGTCTTCACCAAATAGAACTATGCCATCGGCATATTCTAGGTCAGAAGGTGAATCTCCTGGTAGAAGTTCAACCCCTGGAAGTTTAGATGAAGAAAGTGTAATCTTTAAAAGCACGTCAACGACAAAGTTAAACAAAAATGGAGAGAGTGGACAGCCCTGACGAACATCACTTGAGGTAATCAATTCTGATGACAGGTCTCAATAAGTTCTCACTCAAACATTTGTGTCCGAGTAGATAGCCTTTATAAGGTTAATGTACTTCTTTGGTACTCCTTTCAGTGACAAACACTGCCATAGAACCTCATGATCAACAGAGTCGAATGCCACCTTGAGATTGGGAAATACTATTATTGTGGGATGTCTGAATGTGTATCTATGTTCTAGGATCTGACGTAATGTGGATATCTCGTCTATACAGCCACGTCCAGATCGGGGACCAGCCTGGTTTTCTCTAGTCTGCTCTTCACGAGCTTTAGTTAGGCGTCGAAGTATTATTGAGGCTAATATTTTAGACACTATATTAGTCAAACTGATTCCTCTGTGATGGTCACAAGAGGACTTTTGTCCTTTCTTATAGACTGGCACAATCAGTGGTTGAGACCAGTCAGATGGGATTACGTCCAGTTCCCAAATTCTACCTAAGACCTCAGTCAATCTCACTGCTAATACTGAACCACCATCCTTAAAAATCTCAGGAGTAAACCTGTCAGGGCCTGCTGCTCTCCCTCGCTTCAGATTTCCTATGGCTTTTTCAACTTCGTAAGGAGTCGGAGGACCTACATTAACTTGCCATTCAGGTTGACTGGAGATCGTGGGAAACCGAAGTGTGGCTGAAGGCCAGTTGAACTGATCCCTAAAGTGTTCTGCCCATCGATCCAATCTCCTGGATTGAGAATGAATAATATGTCCATCTTTCTCTGAGATTGTTTCGCTAACGGTCGGGTTCCTAATTCCGGTTTCCTCAAAAAGTCTGAACAATTGTCTTCTATTATTTATTGCCGCTGCCTTTTCCATCACTCTTGCCTTCGCTACACACCACTGCTCGTGGTCATTGCGTAGGCTTCTTATCATCCTGAGCTTAAGCTGACTCCGCACTTCGCCATGTTCAGAGCCAGATGGAATGAGTTTTCGAGTATCAATCAGTGCAGTTGGTGTCGCTGAGATCCAGTATTTCTCCCCAACCTTATGGTTTATCTGACTAGCAGTTATCACTGCTGTTTTCACAGCTTTTTTGATATCATTCCAAGCCGCCTAACTGTTTTTCTAGTTGTCCCTGAAATGCATTCTTAGCTCCGCTGTCATTAAGTAGAACCCTAAGGGATTTTCTTGCAGCGTCTTTCTTACGTCCAGTAAGACGCAGACAAAGACGCGCTAACACTAGAGCATGATCTGAACCTAAGCATGTGCTCCAGAATGAGCGACAGTCTTCTATCGAGCCTCTCCATCGGTAGCTGATAGCAATGTGATCTATTTGGGTCCAACTTTGGGACGAATTAGGGGGTCGCCATGTCAAAAGATGTTTTTGCCTTATACTTAAAGTTAGTATTTGCAAGAAACAAGCGGTTATCTAAGCACAGCTGCAACAGACGGTCGCCATTATCTGTTCTTTGAGCCAAGACACCATAAGATCCACATAGATGTCTCTCGTTTTCGCCTAGTTTTCCTACTTGAGCATTCAAGTCATTAGCCACTATTACTACGTCAGAACGCCTAACCTTTTGGAGGAGGTCAGAAGACTTTCTTTAAATCTCATATTTTACCTCATCTGAACTGCAGTCAGTGGGAGAGTAGGCAGCGACGACAAGTGTCCCTATCTTCCCGAGTCTTTACTGTTCCGTTTAGTCGGACAGCGCACAAGTGGTTGTCTACTGGGATCCAGTCTAAGAAAGCTAGTTCTTCCCTAGGAATTAATGCTATACCTACGCCGGCGAGGCCACGAGAAGCAACATCAGGGCTTCCAGATACACGAAGTGTGAATCGAGATGGTTCTTTATTTTGATATGGTGAGATCCTGTATGCGCGTTTCGGAGACGCAGAACACATCGATGGTGCGAGATCCTAAATTCCTAGCTAAGGAGGCCTGTTGTCCTATTTGGCACAGTGTTCGGACTTTAAAAGCTCCTACATGTAGTTTAGAGTTTGGCTTCAGGAGACTGGGAATAACGTTCCGCGTACTCGAATCGTTTGCATTAGCGGCGTGAGAAAAATTATTCGTGGAGATAAGAGGGTTATTAGGTGTAGGAAGAATTTGATTGTGACCGACATGGTCTCATGTGTTGTTTTGGGTATGAGGGCTGATGTCACTTCCCGGCTGCCCACATCGTGGAAGGGTATTTCTTAAGGAACCTGAAGAGGAAATTGGATTAGTATTGGTCTTAACGACCTGGAAGAGTGACCGCAGAGCCCAAGGGACAACTACTTGAGGCCGGTCGCGCACGGCCTTTTCGTGGAAGGTTTCTACTGTGTTAGTTCCGTTCTTCAAAGGACCTTATCGCCGGAGACAGGAATCCGTGAGGTAAGGTGAGGTGTGACATTTTTAGGGTTGACCTTTTCTAACCCCTTCCTTCCTTGTGAGAAGGCAGCGTCGCTGCAGATACTGGTTGTCCGAGAGAAACACCTTACTGCTTTCACACCCCTCTACAGTCAGCAGTATGACTTCGTCCTCAGACCTTGAGTTGCTGCTTTTAGTCTTACCGTTCTCCAATCGACCTGCCTGGCATGATAGAACATACGGGAACATATGTTCTAGCCAATATAGCTCGGTCGGATCATCACGATAGGCAAGCCCGACCACCACGTCAATGTAGCAGCTACGGTCGGGCTTCTCGATTTTAGTCAGTCTTTTAAGTACTCATGTTTAGTTATTTTGTAAACTACTACTAGTCATACGGTTGATATGTATTGTGAATTTTTGGAAGTTAAAGTCCTGGGACAAATCGACTACTGTAAAAGTAGACGCCCCAGATCGTTGGCAAATATTTATTAATCCCGAAAGAATCATTTTTTTAATTAGTTCGGAACCTACGTATAAAGTAAGTTACATTTTAGATAGTGAAATTTTGTCTTTATTCCAGTGTGGAAACTTACCACTACCAAAACCTAATTGTTTCAATAATCAGAAATTTTCTATATTAGATATCAGACTGAAATAATCAAGTCAACATTCATATTTAAACATTATTAAATAAATTAACCCCTTGAATTGCTGACTTAAAATTAAAAATAACTACGTATATAGTGTTTACATTTTCCAATTAATTAGGATCTCTATTCAATCCATTTTTGATTAGTAATACTCTCGCTCTGATCCGCAATTTTAATGCTTATAGTTTTTTAGAGAATTATAATGGTCATCAAACTTACACCAATTAAGTTACACGTACTCCAAGTTATACACTTTTCTTGTCATCTTTCTCTTGGTCTTCTTCATCGTTATTCCTAGAAATAAAGTAAAAATCGTAAAAAAGCTTTTTATGACCATTATATTTACTCGTTGTCATCTTCGTGCTTTTCTTGTTCTCTGTCAGCAGTTTGTTTATTTAGTATAAGTTGGTCGTCATATAAATGTCGAAAGTCTCCAAGAATACCTATTCTTTTTGAAAAGTTTATGTATTACTGATAACATATATACTTTTCATTTTCTTCATGTACATTAGTCTCAGTCATATGTAACCTTTAAAAATAAATATTATTGATCATCGGAAATATTTATTTCCATGATTACTTTCTTTGCTTATCTTCACTTTTGTTCAGGTTAATCTTAGCTATGTTTTCTTCCGCACCAGGTAATATAAGCCTTAAGGCTGGTGAGCACTTACTTTGAAAATGAAACTCCATAAGAATACAAAATTAGGGATCATACTTTAGCATTGATGCTCGGGGTAGTTGTGTCTGATATATCTTGATATTCTTACTATTGAGTTCGCCTTTTTGACCGAAATAGGAAGCTCCTTGTCGCCCAAGAGAATTGAACATTTCTGATCTTGTAAACCTAAAGGCAAAAGCATTAAGGTATTTCAATTTGATAAAGACACTACCATTTTACTCGATTTTTCACAATTATGTATGTATCTACATATACAAAATTTTTTGATAAGCGAATATGAACGATGAGCTTGTTTGTTACAATCAATGCTGAACTTTATTTGTGATGGTGGAGAACATTTGTAACCCAAGTGGATGCTTTTGACGAAGTTTTGTTCTCGAAACTGAATGGTTTGGATATGGATTTGTTTCTCATTTAGTCTATTAGTGTTTAAATAAACGGAAATACTAAGTATAAATTATGGAGCTAGAATTCTTATGCATTTGATGGCTGATATATGTTACATCCTAGTGAAGATTAAATTATAGGTAACTTCTGAGAACCATTAATGACCTAATATTATATTTGTTCTTATTTTGTAACTATTCAGTAACTAAATTACGCATAACTATATTCCTCTTATTATAAGCGTTATTCTGACTTATAGACTATTATGATACGATTTATTATTCTTAAATTATTCTCAGTCTATCAATTACCATCACCCGCAACCATAGCCACCTTTTGGCCTGATCTTGTACAAATGTTATTTCCTATTTCGTGGTGTGATGTGGTCCGTTTGGCTCGTGTGTAAACCAGGTATGTTTGGAATAAATGATTCGCGTAGCGGAAGCTGGTATTGGTGTTCTGGACTCAACTGGCAAGGCTAGTAGTACAAAGGACCAATAAAGATGCTAGGCTGCTCATACCGGTCGAACGTCATTGGTTTGACGCAGTGATAAGACTGTATAAGTCGTATTCTGATTGGCAAATAAATCACGCGATATTTAAGGGGGCTTAAAGACAAAACAGTATATAGTGGTAAAGGTTAGCTTTCTTTTAGACCAAAATTTACTGTATGCTATCTGGACTGTGAATAACTAAGGTTCTACTCGAGGTTATATAGTGATAGTACAGTAATATAAAAAAACACTAACTCCATCAAGAAAGCTCATAAAGTTTATATGTGATACATATATCTAACTTAGTCAAATCGACATTCAAATTGTGATACCTCGAACTCAATATTATTTACAAGTTCATCAGATCGTTGCACGGTTTTCAGTGATACTTCATTTTATTAATCTATGTCTACGTATTGCGTTCAAAGTTCATTCGATCTACTTTATTTCGTATTGAAAACTTCGTACACTAATTTTTTAGTTTTGTTGTCAATGATTCCTTTGACTCATCATTAATTAGGACAGCTTTTAACATGTATTTAGTTTGTCCCATACTTCTTACACTCTTACTTTAATGGTATATAATTAAGACTATGTGTATTAATTACATACCATCCAATTTGAGCACAGATTTCTTTAAATCTTGTTCGTAGAAATGTTATCCACATACAAAATACAAAAAACCAAAAGAATGTTTCATATAAATTTTGATCTGTTTTTGCAGTTGCAACTGGATCAATTGGTCTAGGGCATATATTATGCATTAGACTTCGTTCAAGTAGTAGAAATTTAGCGTACGCAAGTGAAAAATCATATTTTAATATATCTATTCGTTTATGTAATTCTTCTTTTTCCTTTAACTGGTTTACATTGGGTAATCTAAAATGGTGAAACGTTTATTTAGGAAAAAAAATTGATATTATTAATAAAATTCGAAATAACACTTTACAATTTTTCATCGGCAAATTTTTCTTCAAATTTCAATATCTTAAAATAACATTCTAAATATTTTGCCAAACTTATCAATAGTTTGTCACATTCTGGGGATCTAATTTAGAGAAAAACTAGTTATCAAATAACCAATAAAAAATATACTTGATCATTTTAGCAAAGTGTTGGGAATATTGGAAATGCTTTCCTGAAGCTTTTAGTCTTGTCAAAGCAGCAGCTGTCCTTCCACTAGAAAAACTTGATACTTACATTTTATATCCTTTATAGTTATTGTACGAATTTCATCAACAATTTTCATATGACTCTTTTTGTAAAGATTTCTGGTCATCACCGTAAAAACTTATCGAATATTTTACTTTTGTGAATAAATAGACTTTTGTGATTTTTGATCAGTAAATTTGATGAATACAAGTTCATTTTTATCATCGATCCACTCAAATCTTCCTGTTGTCGGCTTTAAAAACCAAAATCATCATATAATTAGATTAAACACACCAAACTTAGTTCACTTTGAAGAGGATTTGCATTGTTCATTGTGTATTTCAAAGGTATCTGAAAAAAATAGAGATAAAGCGTTTGGTACAACGTTTTAGCTCAATAATGTAAATTTGACAAAAATTGTATGAAAACAAAGATTTTTTAATGATTGTTTAATTTGAGACATGTTTTAATCACAAACTGACATTAGTTGGATAATCATTGTAAATCGAAGATCGATGAACAGCTACTTTGTCCTGGTTTGTGACTCCTCAGGTTTGATGCTGTGTGGTCCAGAGTGCATACAACCCAATACTGCTAGCTTATAACAAAACAGCTGTGCATCACTTTCTAGTTTTCTGTGATCCTTCAGCTTGACATCAGTGTATGATATAAACTCCCCTTTTCCACCTATCGCAATAAACATAAAATTATTCATAAGTTAAAGCTGAAAAAGCTATTAACCCATAATGTATCAAAAAATATTTTTGTACGATGGTTTTGACTTATTTTAAGTAGACATCCACTACTAGTGACTTGCCAGAACTTTTTTATCTACAAAACGATTGATCTTACTTTACTTGAGTCGCCTGACCTAAAGTCTGATATTTTGAGTTCATATAAAACATTAATATCAATTTTATTAGATTATGTACAAAATAATTATCATAAGAACTTGTTTTACCTAGGATAGTATTTAAGACGGATCATCACATATCTAAAAAATGAACATTACTCCTATCTATATCCCAGGAGAATGAGCTGTGAATTTTAAATAACCGGACTCCTTGTTATGGCTGACTGAACTGAATCCCATTAGGTAACAACATCTCACGGCTTGTTGAGATGGATCTCGCTGAAAGCTCAGTCATTTCTTCATAAGTTAAGAGAGCACGCAAACAAACCGAGTCATGGACGTAACTCCTACTTTTGCTGAGAAAAGGAACCTAATATTGGAAAATTGACGCGAACTGGCTGAATCTGTAGTATATGTTCGTAAGGATCTCAGCCTGGTTAATCATATTAGTAGACTATCAGAAAAAGCATAAACATATGAGCGCCGCCGGAACGGTTAAAAACCTCATACTTAAGTGTTTTCACCCAAAGCGAACCTAAACTACTCAGTGGAACGAAGGCGTTTGTCACCATATTAAAGGTATGTCATGCAAATGCTAAATATGATGGAGGAGCTCAGATACGTGGTGAGTACAGAAAATCCTAGTGTTATTTCTGTCTCAGAAACATGGGTAGCGTCAGATAAGTATGATAGTAGATATTAATCGCTTGGTTTCTTACTTTGTAGGGCTGACAGAATAAACTGTAGGGTTACTGAGATTATCCTGTTCATGAAAAGCGTCCTAACCATACGAGCTACAAAGATGGTGGCACACGACTCCAGGACATGTGAACTGGTGCTTTGCCTTCAAAAATATAAAGGGCAAGATGTTCAATCGGTTGTAGTATACCTCAGCCATGAATGATCATGTGGTCATCACGTCCAAGTTCATGGTTGATCTGGTCTGTCAAGCTGTTGCTCCAGCCCATCCTAGCTCATGGAAAGCAAACATAAAGACGACTATCTCTGCAGCCTCGACTGAAAGCTTGAAAATTAACTCCGGTGCATCAGTAGACGAGGCATGAACTCAATTACGGCAGTCATATAATCAAGTAGCTCAACTATTTACATACCGGACAGTTCCAAAGAAGAAAAAACACAGGCATTACTGGATAAACCAGAAGATGCGACACCCACCAGAACAAAGGAAGTGTTGGGTAGCCATCAGCCTCTAAACAACAAATAGAATTGGATGCTACAGGTAATTGCGAAGTTAGTATGTAACTAGAATTCGGGTATCTCAGAGAAAATATGAGAACCAGTTAACGCAATATGTAATCAATCATCCCAAGAGACTGGTCTCGTACATAAATTACAAAATGAAGGTGCATCATTAAACCTTCAATCCAACTACCGAATGGAGTGAATCTTAGGTTACAGAGAAAAACAATGACAAGGCAGAGGACATTGCTAACTACTTTGAGATAGTTTTCACTAAGGAGGCCCCTTTAGACAAAGGACTAGACTCAAATAAAAGATGACGAAATTGGTTGCTTACTGTGAATTTTGATCTGGACGGAGTACTAAAGGCCCTGAACACCTTATACACAGAAAGCTCAACAAGACCAGATGGACCACATGTTAGAATTCTAAGGTCAATTATACCATACATTGTCACTCCATTGGCTACTATATTAAATCTGCAAGTTAGCCAAGGGGAGTTACCCACGGACTGGAATGATACAATCGTCAATCCAATAGATAAGACAGGAACAAGACAACTTCCATCAAACTGCTGACATGTCGGCAGTACTTGAAATACTGTAGAGAATAATGTAAAACGTCAAAACAACATTCGTAGGAATCAATAACTTGTTGAATAACGTATACCGTGGTTTCTGAGAAGGATTATCTTACACAACATTCTCATAGCAAGGGTGACTCGACATAGTGGAAAACCAGTGGATGTTGCCTATATAGACTTCAGCATGAAGTAGACTACTCGTGAAGCTAGAAAATATGAGAAATTTCGGACTTCGCCTGGAGTGGATCAAGGATTTTGTGATAGGTCGCAGACATAAAGTATGAATAAATTACAAATGCTCCTCCTGGAAACCAGTACGTAGTGTAGTACCGCAAGACTTTGTCGTAGGTATTTTACATGTTGTATTGTATATACAGTTAGGCCTCCAATTCTACTACACGCTGATGATGTAAAAATCTGGCGTGAAATAGCAGGAAACACAGATGCGCATGTTTTTGAGGCAGACTTGAATGTTCTAATTAACTAATCTAAGAAATGGCTGATGCCTGTCAACGTGGCTAGGTGTGTCTACATGTTTATTTGTGGATACAACGATATATATGTACAGCGCAAGAGAAAAGTCAGTGCCTATAGTTCAGTCTGACAAGGATCTTGAGGTGAAGGCAAGCCGCAATCTGAAAAGCACATACAACCATCATCAGGTCACGGCTAGAAAGTTTAGAACATAACGGCCTTAAAGACGGACATTTATTAAGTTAGTTCTTAATATGTTCACTACAGCAAACACAAAACTAGTGAGATCCAGGCTGCACGTCTTCGTTCAAAAGGAGACTCGGATATGTTGGAAAAATTAAAAAAGAGGCTACTGGTGCAATTACAGAACTCAGAGGTGCAGCCGTAAATAAATCCCCAAAACAAATAGCTCTGTAAGTCTTCGACATTGGATGCTGACCACATTAGTTTTGGTGTACTCACCTAGCTGAAGGCGTTCGGTCATGCATCCACACCAGATCACGAGTGGGAACGCCGTGCTCAACATCCCCTACAATCGCTAGCCAGTCTAAATAAGACGATCCGCGATATATTGATAGCCTATTAGATATATCTTCAGACTTCCTCCCTCTTACCTTTTGATTTCACTTGTTGGGTACGCTTCATATTAGGTGTTACTGGTTAAAGTGTTGTCAAACTCTGAATACCTATGACATTTTCAGGGGTTTATTGTTCAAAAGGTGGCTTGGAAAGCTAGACCTCTTTAATTCGTCTTATTGCAGATTAAGATTTGATCTGATTTTGATGTACAGAATACTAGGAAATGGCTTTGGATACGATATATTCTCTCTTTTTCTTCCCACTAGATCGGAACATCTCAGAGGATTTAGCAAGCGAGTAGAGAAGCCAAGAAGGATCGAAATACCCGTGGCATACATGTTTTCACACCAAGCCATCAATTCTCGGAACCTGTTATCCGAAGCGCTGGTGTCCGCACGCTCAAGTGACTGATTTAAGAAAAGACCAGACACTCGGTGAAGCTGACTAGAAAAAAACTAACATAGGCCCTCTCTTCTTACTACACAAATCCGAGTCTAAAAAACATGTACTCTGCTTGGCAAAAGCACTGTTATCGTCTTATGAGTAACTCGCTTTGTAGTTCTTAACAGTTTTGTTATTGACATACTCATTGCGTGTTGCTGTCTGATTTCGAGAAAAAACAGGTCATACATCCCGTTTCCTTCAACTGTTCGGCCATTTCATATGGTATAAACCACTAAGATCAACTTGAGTAGCTCTACTCTAACTCCATCTTCGCTCTACTTTTTGTTTCGAGTAATTGTTTACTAGATTGATGTTGTAAATTTACGTGAAGGTAAGGAAAGATATAGAAAAATATTTTGAGCCGATACAAGATATGATGCCGTAAGTTTTATTGGTGTATTCATTTTCGCGTAAAATGTCAAATAATAATTTTACGATATACATTAAAATGAAATACTAAACTCACGGGCTCAGCTTTGAAAACGTGCCAATTTTGCCACCATAGCAACACTACTGACATCGTACTCAAATAGAAGCAGCCTGGAAAGAAACTTGCTATTATTTACATTCAATTTTAATCAAACATACAATCAGTAACAGAGCCTTTGTTTGAATCATCTGAACATGCTTCTCGTTCCAGCCGTACATGTTTTACTTAATAAGTGTGGGCAATACTTAGTGTTTTCCTTTTTTGTTCTTGAAGTTCTTTTGTATATATACAAATCTTATTACCTTCATTTCGGATCAAGTGCCTGTGTAGAGGAGTTGTTTATATTGTTTGGTTGGTTGGTCTCAGAAATCGCAAAACATTTTTTTGGTTCTTTGATATTTGACCCTAACGGTATTTCCAAACCGGCGTATATTTCCAGCCTTGTGTTTTACATTCCTTCGGCTTTAGGTGGCACATTCTTTTTGTTCTGGCAGTCGTTTGTTACACAAATAGAAGTCGTCACCTGTTCTACTCTCTTGTGTTTCAACTGTCTTCAGTTCATTACATCCCTAGTGGTTATAATCCCTAACAGAAAAAACCCAAACTGAAATATCTGAGGTGAACCTTTGCTAGCTACCTAACCGCATGTCATCTCACTGTGACTCTTCATTCCCCGCTCTTGATTGTAATTATTTTTCTTCGTATAACCTTATTGTTGCTTGTGTTGGTGTCGGCAATGTAGCCCAACTTGCTTGTGATCTTTTAATCTATAACTTAGGTTGTGATGTTATTAGTAGTTTAAATTTTGAGTACTGCCCATCCGTAGTCGGTATCAATCCTTACCGATTGCCTGGAGATGTTCATGATTTGATGACAACTTCACAGGTATATATATTTTTTTTCTGAGTGTTATATGATATATACAAGTTTTACGGTAATCTTTATGTACTAAATTCATAGTCGATCTGACTTCAACTATTCTATGTCATAATGAACACAGTTTATAAGATTTCAAGCTGACTAAGCAGCTCAAACCTTGAACTGTTAGTAGGAATCAGTGAATAATTTGTCCTTCAAGATCTGCGTCTGGGTACTCAAAGATCATTCTTGATCCTGGAAAGGTATAACTTCTTATGTTCCTTGTACAAGTGAAGGGCAAAGCAAGTTAGTTAATAATAGCGAGACTGATCACCCTCATGACCTACTCAGCTCATGTGAACCTCGAGCCTCTCTTCGAAGCACTCTGTGAAAGGTGTCCTTAACATTGCATCTGGTTAATATCTCCACAATCTACTGATTTTAGCTACAAAAATATCCGTACAGGTCTTCTGTATCAACTTGTATTTCCTAAATGAATACACTTTTAAGTTTAGTATTTAAACTTCGTAGTGGTCTGTTATGTTTAGAGGGATCATGAGCGACATGAATCGTAGTGATTATTCCCCCTGAATCCTTCTGTACTGCACAGACTGCAAACTTGAAGCTTCCATGCGAGTTAAGTGCAGTTCATTTTTTTGTTTCGCATACATTTTTGATTACCCTTTTTTGAGCACATTACAAGAGGATGATAGGTTAATGATAAATGATCCAAGAACCGTTTTGCAAATGAGGTCCTAATTAAACAACAGGAAAGGTTTTAAATTATCCCGAAGTTAGTCTATAAAGAAAATCCAAGATAGTATTCAATTTTGCTGCAGGATCCCAATGGGAAGAAGCAGGTATTTTTGAAGTAAAAAGTGTGGTACTAGAATCATCCCGAAAGTACGTGACCGATACAGTTCCACTACTATTCACCATTATCACCCTTCATTTGCTGCTACTGAAAGGACAGTTTCTATTGGTATAGTCACATAACCTATTTAAGTTTTTGTAATGAAACAAAATATTTGGATCTAGCGTCTCTCTCAAGTTCTAAAATCATCTCCATATAATAGATTCTAAGGGCCTGTATTGATAGGCAAATCTTTAAACAATGGGAGCATAATCCTTGGGATTTCACTCTGTGGTACTTCACTCGTCATTGAAAACTAGTTAGATATGGCAAAGCAAGCTCTGACAGCTAACGATCTCCCCTATAAGTAATCTGAAAGTCACTAAGCACCCGATAGTTGCTGCTAATCCCGGTTTCAGGTGAGCGACTCGATAATTAACTTTATTAAATATCTCCATAAAAATTAGTAAGGTCATGTGCATAAGTTGAATGTACTCCAATGAGATGGTACATCTATTCTAAACAGTTAACAAGCCTGTATCACGTGATCTATGTAAGAGAATTCCATGTTGTGGTTAAAAAACTTTACAGTTATTGAATAGATAGTTGTTTATGGGTTCGTGAATTCTTCCATGACTTACTCCGAAAGGCTAAGAAATTAGTTCGCAATTGGAAGTTCCTATCTTGCTGTTTACGTCACAGTCAAATAAGAATACTAGTTCTCATTCAATCGTTTTATTAGCATCACCTGTTTTTGGTCAATTATTATTCCGAAACAAACTGTATTTAAGGTGTTCAGTTAATAAGGTTGGTCACTACTTTTGTAATGGACGGCCTATATAGACGATACACAACACCCCACGTGTGTTGTTGACTTCTTAATGATCACAGTTTCACCTTAGTTTGTTTAACAATATAAAGCATTCTATCCCAAACTTTTGGGAATTTCACATCCTGTTTTAATCTAGCCCATGTTACAAAAACTAATATGACAGATCCATAATTAATTAATTTCAAAGTTTTTGAGACATATTACTAATGCGTATATCTTTATTTTTCCAAGATATGGTTTTTCTTAAGATTTTATATGTTCGTACCCCTTTAGAAATGTTCTAAATTATTTTCAAAGCGAAGAGTGTAATCTTTGAAGAATGAGAACTTTCACCATTAAACAATCTATGGCTACTCCACTAGTACATCCATTTCGTTTTTATATATCGAGACTTTTCTAGGTCGTGAAATTCATCACACCAATGTTATATTTTCCCGGAAAACGACGACTCATGGGTCGTACATCAATTTAGGCCCCCGCTCATTTGTACCCTTACCATAGCAAGGATCAGTAAAGAATTCTTCAATTAACGTAAACACCTTAAAACTTTGCGTTTGCGATTCCTTAATCTGGATAGTTTACCACAAATGAAAACTATTTGTTCTTCTCTTTTGAAGATTTATGCTAATCCCGAACTTCAGCTAGCTGTGTTACAAATTCGAGCCCCTCCCTTCACCGGTTCCAAACGAAAGCATGTCAAGGAGCTTGTGACCTTCCTGAAATCTATGAAGTTTAAAACTGTGGTTTTACTTTCAAGTAGCTTTGCGACTATTCTTAAAGTAAGTTGACTATTTTCTTTCTAAATCCTATCAATTACTGAACATTCTTGACAGTTGGTGTTTACTCGTTTTTAAAAACCGTAAGCTAGAAACTTATTAAGGTAGCGTGATATGGTTTTCCTCGTGTTTTCGAGTAAATGACTAGTATATTAAACCAACTGTTATGTGCGTTGACCCCAACAGTCTTTATTTGAGCATTTCAATCACACACTAGCCCCGTACACTTAGTCAGGCATTTGCAACATGAAGCTTAATACATCCCAAAAACTGACGCTATCCCTGAAGACAGTTTTTATGGGTACATGCTAAACTACACTATGATATCTGCAAACTTCAGGTTAATAAGGTTTCTCTAAATCTAGTGAATCGCCATACATTCAAAGGAAGAAAGTGTTGTTTCTGAGAACATTTTGAGCACAAAATCTGATAATATTACGGAACAAGAACATCGCTGATAGTTACTTAGTACAATCATTTCATGTGAACATTCGTCGTAACTTCCAATTCGAATGATGGTATTCACATAAAGGGCTTTTGATAACTTATAGTGTTCTTTTTATGCTCCTTTCAACAACAGTCTCTATTACAACCTCAGCCTGCAGGTTCAAGTGTCATTTTTACACGTATGATTACAATTAGATGTCGATATTCCTTTCTACACACCACAACTTGAGGGGAAAACAGCCAGTATGATACATCAATTTTAAAACATGCTTGGTCTCCCCGGTTTCCTGTTCACAAATTCTTAAGCGTGACAGCAGTAAATGTCGACATACGGTGGTTCAACCGAAGGGTAAATTATCTGGTTTTTCCACATCAATGTGTGTCTACGATATCAACTGCTACATTGAGCGTACAGTCACACAACTAAGTCGAGTCAGTGAACACCTTTCTGGGTTAATTAAAGAGTTTGATCAAGATAACGTACATCTTCCTGTTACAGTAGGTCGATAGCAGTCATGTAGTAGATAAAAACAAATCATTTAAAGTAGTTAATCGTAAATCCACTACCTTTCCTTATTAGATTTGATCTTGTCTCTTACACTTTACAGAAGCTACGGGGATCCGAACTAACAACCTGTGTATTTATGAAGACTTTTCCATGCCCTTATCTCTTCCCTCACCTTTTAAATGAACACTTCATTATCTAATTATCTAAACTACGTAATTTTATAGTTAGTAGTAAATACTATTTTAATATCATTGACCTACTTCCTACTATAGAACACTGACTGAACCCTTTCCTATTCGTATCACAACTAGTACACCTGTTATCACAAACAATTTGTACTTTTTACCTACTGTTTATTTTCGTAATCCATTCCAATGTTATCGCTGACTCATAAACTGCCTTGATTAGTTTGTGAATTCCATATGTCCATACAAATATTCTTATACATTATATTGAAGCCCGACAATTAAAAGGAATATTGCTCGCTTATATACATTCTAATTCGCAATACAATTTCTACTATATTTTTAGTCACACAAAATTAAGCAACAGACATGTGATGAATGGGATAAGAAGGGCACACATATATACTATACACTCATATAAAAGCAGTCAAGATTGACAAGCGAATAATTATCAAGGTCAAAATGTGACCCAAGTAAAATGAGTAGATTGGCCTGTCCTAAAGCTAGAATAAGGTATATGGGCTTAAAATAATAACCGGCACTACAATTTTAATGATAAAAGTTGCTATCTTGAAGAGTTTACTTCTCTGTAGTTATCGGATAACAACACGCTCAACCAAAATAATTAATAAACGGTGGGCACCATCCTTCCAGAAAACTGGGACTACTCCATCTCAGCGCCTCTCTTCCCCTTGCTTCAGTTACTTTTAGCTTCAATAAGAATTATTTTTATAAAATGACTATCTGTAATCCTTTTTTACAACAGATTTAACACAATCACCCATAATTCTATAGTCTTGTATGCCACTCATCTATTTCACTTCTCCCGTTCGTTTTACAGGATGAGGAGCTAAACTCAGCACCACTGCAGTATGCTTTGTCGTCGTCATTCTGCGCTTCTGATCGTAAACGCTTTGATGAACTGGATTGGTATCCCCTTAAGACGTACAGTGACCACCTAGATTGTCAATTATCTGTTGTTTATTATTTACCTGGGTGTGGAATTGCAAGTTATTTATTTGAAGAATTACTCAAACATGAAGAGATATCTGCTTGTCTGTTAAATCTTTTTACATCTGAAGGCGATAACAGTGGCGATGCACTTTATGTTGTGCAGCATTTGAATAAGTGGTTACAATTCAAAGCACAACACGGAGTTGAAGACACAAGTTTTCAATGGTCTCTCCCCCCTTCTTGGAGCTATTTGTTTGGAACTGATCCTGTTGATGAATTGTATTAGACTTTTATTAAATATTTACAAAAGATTAGTTTTCTGGCATTTCAGGTTTTCTGACGAATCAAACTTTTCGCTAGGAATTTTTATGAATTCATGAGTTCATAGATTTAAGTTGTTCATCAAATGAAAAAGCTAAGCAACGACGGTAAATATGCTAAGAATTCGGATCTATAATTTCGAAGTTCAGAATTATTATGAAGGCCTAATTTCATTCACTAACACTCAGTATACATGTTTATTTGTATTTAGTAACAAGTACAACTTGTGTGTGACTTTTATAATGAATTTTACCTTCTCAATTACTTATAAAATTTATTGTACATAACCTTAGTTTTCCTGCAGCAGGATAATTCGGAAAACATGGTGATATTGTTGTTTAATTTTGTAACGTTCATAGATTATAGGCATCAACGAGTGACATGTTCGTTTGAATAACCAGAGAGAAGTCTATTTTGCGGTTCCACTAATTTAAGCATTCTTGAATCAGAGTATCATTATCTATCAATAAAATACATGTTGAAAATTCCCATTTTGCCATTTGGTTAATAAAGAAGAAACGAATTGAGCAAAATTTCTTTTTAATTAGTTTTTCATCATGGCTCTACACTAATATATATATATGATTTACAATAATGATATAATACTCATGTAATAATTACATAATGACGTTAAAATTAACATTGAGTAATTGGGAGAAAGAGGATTATTAATATTCAAAGTAATTATTAAATCAAGAAGTTGCTACGTTTCGTAATATATGAAAAGAGAAGGAACAGAATTTTATAATGGATGGTCAATAGAATAGTAGTTACGTAAGAATCGAAAGATGAATGTTGAGGAAATATAAAGTTCGAAAATAACAAAAACAAGATTTTCCAGTTTTTCAAAGGAAATATCCGCTTAAAAGCACAATTAGCCATTGACCAATTTATTATCGCTATATAGACGATACTTTCATAGTATTAGAAAAAGAACATGATAAGGACAATCTACTTAATATATTTAATAACGTCCATCAATCATTTAATTTTACATCAGAAGATGAACAGAACAATAGCATATCATGTTCAACTAACTGGAAGAGCAGACGGAACTTTAAGATGAGGGGTATACAGAAAGTCTGCAACAGGACAATACACTCATTTCTACAGTGCAGTTCTATCAGATACAAAAGGAACTTAATAAAGATCATGACTCATCGTGCCAGAATGATTTGCTCGGAAGACACCATTGAAGATGAATTGGTTAATATTCGAAACTTACTTAGTACGAATGGGTACCCTAGGAAATCCATCGACAAACTACATGATGGAGATGAAAACAAGAACGAAGATGCCTACCGTCCCTAAGAAAGTACTGTTCATAAATGAAACCACTAAAGAAATCGTGACTCAGAAACTAAGAAGAGCTGTACAAAAAACACTTAATGCAGCCAGTTTAATGTTATTTTCTACAACCACCTCAAAATAAGAACGGCCAATAAAGACAGACTGCCTGAATTCGCCAAATCCATGTGCATCTATCGGTCCAACTGCTCCTATGGAGCCAGTTATATAGGGCGTACAATTCGGCAAGTTCGTTATCGTATTACAGAACGTCATGCGCCGTGATTAAAAAATGACAGGTAAAAGTGATTCTCCCTCACTTGGTCGACACAGGTCATCAAGTTGAATTGAATAGAGCTTTTAAGGTTAACTACAATATCCCATCAAATTTGCTGCATGGTTTACGAGTGCGCCTTTTGCACATTGCGGAAGCCATCGCAATCCATGTTCACAAACCTGACCTTTGCATTTAAAAGAGATTTGTACAACCAATTTTGTTGCCTTGGCCATCGGTATAAGATTTCCTTCAGGAGAACTATTTTTCATAAATCTTCCACTCGTTTCTTCTCTTTAAAATTTGTTTCTGTTACTTTTGAACTTTATATTTCCCCAACATTCATCTTTCGATTCTTACGTAACTACTATTCTATTGACCATCCATTATAAAATTCTGTTCCTTCTCTTTTCATATATTACGAAACGTAGCAACTTCTTGATTTAATAATTACTTTGAATATTAATAATCCTCTTTCTCCCAATTACTCAATGTTAATTTTAACGTCATTATGTAATTATTACATGACGTATCCACTCGATGAGTATTATATCATTATTGTAAATCATATATATATTAGTGTAGAGCCATGATGAAAAACTAATTAAAAAGAAATTTCGCTCAATTCGTTTCTTCTTTGAGTACATGTTACCGTACTATTTTTTACTCAAAATTATCGCTATAAATGATCACTTAGAATTATATGATTGTATACAGTCTAAACTTACTTAATTATTAAACACGAATATTGACCCAAGTGGGCACCAAAATAAATGTGCAACACAAATGAAAGAATGAATTTATGAAGGAAGTATGGTCAAATAAATTGAAGGAAACTAGAATTATATTTTAAGTCATCAGCAGAGAAGGGTTGATAAGTTCGTTAAGTTTAACAATACTATCTGTATTGAAAGTCAAATGCTTTCTACAGTCTCGTTAGACAGCTCCACGTTATCCAGTTGTATCACCATTCACTATACGGATCGTTGGATTGAAATTAGAACATGCGTGCACCTCCCAGTAGATCCAAAATTTGAACTCAGGTTTTACCAGCCGATCAGTGTGAGCAGGCTTCATAGATTGATTGGCCTAGCTTTTTCATACACCTGTATATTAATGGGTTACATTCTACGACTAACTGAAATAAATTCAATAAATAAAGTTTGTTACAAGAAAGTCCAGTATTTAACCGTTATTGATTAATAACCGGATCAAATTATCCAAGTGTAAATGCAATTGGTACAATCACAGAATATTTAATAAACGATGTTTACAAGACAACATTATCCCTAAATCTCTTGTTATAAAACCTCCAGAACGGTCCTGGAGATCTATCCAGACTTCGCAACACGCGTCTCGAATATTCTTACGAGAACGCATTCACAAATGCACACACAACAGAAGAAATCCAAAGAATCTTAAAACATCACAGAATTAAAGTGTATTACAAAACAACGGACACACTACGTAATACTTTAGTTCGCCTGAAAGACAAAATCCCTTTCATGTCCACACAGAACTGCGTCTACAAATTAGGTTGTATCGATTGTGATGCCTATTATATTGGAGAGTCATCCCGCGAAATCGTGACTAGAGCCAAAGAACATATTAGGTACACAAAGAAACCTCCTAACAATCCTGTAGAATTGAACCAACTTCAAATTAAATCGGCAATAGCAGTTCATGCCATTTTCAACAACCACCAAATCGATTTTAAAAATATCAAAATATTGCAAAAAGGCTTTTCCAACTACAAAGAAAGGAGGGTAGCTGAGGCGTTCCATATAATGCTTAATCCTACTTCTCTCAGTAGAAAGGGTCTTACCATACATCCTACTTGGACCATATATCCTAGCCATTCAGTCTGATCGTATTTACAATTTCACACTATCATATTACAAATTTAAACTCTATCCCTTCTTACCATAAAGGTCACACAAGTTTTCATTCTTAAACAGTGCACACATACATACACACACAGATTTACATACATATCACTTATGAATCACCTTGACAGAAATGACAAGACATCAACTTGTTCAGACCTGTTTTTGATTGATCAAATATTATTCTTGCATTGTTCCGTTGTACTATTTAAACTTGGATTAATTTTAATTTGGTTATTTATTCTCTAAAGAAGTGACTTACACTAAGTCACGAAACGTCAGAAAATCCAATTTTCTACTCATTGGGATATTACAAATATATTATTTTTATTTATAACAATCAACCCAATGCTCAATTTATTCGAAATTATCAAATCAAACCTTGGTAATGACACCTACGTTATTGATTATTGCTCAGGATGGTATTTCTTGCCTGTAGGATGCGAACCGGAAGACTAAATTGGCCATTACTAAATAAGAGTTAAGTGAATATTGTGATTGGTGAAACTGATAGATATTTCTTTACTGATGCACTTGTATGACGGTTGGTGAAGCAACTATTATAAAGTATCCCTGATCAATTTCAGTTCCCCTAAATCATTGTATACACCAGTTTTAGTCGGTCAAGTGAATTACGAATTAAGACTCTATGATTACGCAAACGAATTGTACACTAGCACATCGCGACAGAACTTTCCGGGCAGATCCCAAAGTAGTAACAGTATCAGTGGTAGTAGGAAACATGTTGTAGAAAAAAGGGAAACAGTGTGATTTTGGAACTCAAAATATGAAAAAAGACGGGGAATGCTTCTGTAACAATGTGATCGATTATGAGCCTTGTCATTTAACGTCTCCAAGCACGTTACGATGGTCGTGTGGACCACAATTACGTGTTCTGCCTCCACTCACATGGCTTAGTCCAATTTTCAACGACTTTATAGTGTTGTCATCCGGGAATACTAACTGATATAACGTGTTGTATTGTCCAGTCAGAATTCGGACTATGGTTTTATCGATCTTACTTACTTACTTACTTACGCCTGTTACTCCTCGTGAAGGAGCATAGGCCGCTCACCAGCATTCTCCGTCCAGTTGTAATTCATCGTTTATCGATCTAGCTTCTACTATTCCATTTATAGCTTACTATCCTATACTCGACCAACTGGACTTTTGACCTGCACTGTTAACTTTGAGCCGACGTAAGATAAACTCACATTCTTCCGCTATACTCAATTTTTTCTGTTTTTCTTGTCTTTATTTCTAGAGAAAGGTTAGCAGCCAGTTTCTATTATTATCAGTTTATTCATGACTCAAAAATAATGGAATGATGTGGAGTAAAATCTTGACGACATATCAACATAATTAAGAAATTACAATATCGGTACGACTATCCCGTTGGTGGAGGACAAGTGAGCAATAGGTTTGTAATAAATTAACAGTAAATTAGGAGTTACAATATATTATAATGGTTTATGCATCGTGAAAAATGTTACAAGCAAGAGAATACAATCATTTGGGCATTTAACAAACAAAAAAATCTAAAACAGTTTCGAAAGTTTAACTTTTCCAGTACTCGTTCGGTTATAGTCAGTCAGTCAGTAACAACGCAGAACTTCGTACGTACGTACATCAGTTCGAGTTGCCACACCACATTAGCACAGAGATACAGTTGTCGATTCAAATCCCGTAGTGGTAGAGGTAATAAGAGTATAAGCAGTAATCGGGAAGATTAGGGTTTGGAGATGTTATTTAAAGAGTATAATCCAGTGAAAGAAATTTGGAAAGAGGAAAAAAGGGACATGAAGAATTCAGAAGATTAGAATTTGGGAGAACACAGAGTGGATGCACCTGCGCCATTGCAAACGATTTTGAGCCATGTCATTCAGGGTCTCTCGGTCTCTCGCTCGGTTATAACATAGATTTGTGCAGCATTTATGTATGGCCATCCCTAAACTTTTTCCAGTTTGCCCCTACACCTGTTGAGCTGAAAGTGGCTGGCCATACATAATGCACATACCATCTGTCGAGAAAGATTCACTGCCACATCAGTCGGTTCACTACCATATATCTAACCTGAACATTACTCAGTCGTTTCAACATATATGAGCGGTACTTTAAAGCAACCTATGAATGAATAATAGTGTCCTTTGAATATCAGTCAGCTACAACGTAGGACCAGGCACATATATAAATCGGTTCAAGTTGCCACACCTCATTAGCGCAACAAGATGATCATCGAATTCATAGTAGTTATTTCAATGGTAGTAATATATAAAAGATTGTGTATAAGGACATAGTCAGTCAGTCAGCAAAAACTTCGTACGTACGTACATCACCTAAAGTTGCCATACCACATTAGCACAGAGATACAATTGTCGATTCAAATCCCATAGTGGTAGAAGTAGTAAGAGTATGAGTAGTAATCGGAAAGACTAAGGTTTGAAGATGTTATTCAAAGAGTATAATCCAGTGAAGTAAATTTGAGAAGAGAAAACGGACATGAAGAGAAAGGTAAAAAGCAGTTTCAGTCTCCCGATTTAAGGGAAAACAAAGAGTGTATACACTTACACCATCGTGATCGGTTCTGAGCCATGTCACACAGTCTCCAACCATTGGTTACGATAGGAGCTTGCGAGTATCTTCTACTTTTAATGGCCACGTTTAGCAGCCGTAAATTAGAACAGAATGAACTGATGTGCAATATACTTGTCCCTTAATTGATAGACGAATATCTCTCTTTCGCTATAGGTGACGTAATTAAGCAAAAGCCGAATGAGCTTTTTGAATTCGTGCAGAAATTTCGTCAGCACATTAGGGCTGACCAGAGTCCCAAGATAAGTGAAGTTGTCAATGCGTTCGACTACTTCATTCCCTATCCTTAGTTCAGGTGTTGACGCAGACCAGTCCTGCAGTAACAACTTGAATTTAAAGGGTGAGAAACGCAACCCAAACATCTTGGTATTGTTGCTCAATGTTGTCTATTCTTGGTGGATATCTTTCACAACCATTAAGTAGAACATAACGAACTGTCGAGCAGTAAATTCATAGTTGACTTGGTAGATGGACATCCCGTCCACACCACAAGTGGCAGGTTGAGAAACGCATTTGCGATTTTGTCAGATGCCGACTCATCAGAGCTTATGTGACTTTCAAGGTAAGTAAAGTGGTCGACACACTCAACTACTTCACTCACCATCATTAAATCAGGCGGTGATGCATACCAGACTCGGAAAAACGTTTTGCATTTGTGATACAGTTTAGCCGAGTGATAGCTACTCACAAGATTAAATTGATGATGTATCCGTCCCCAATTAAAGTGATATCAAAAGACGACAGTAATCCGGTAGAATAGCTTCTTTAAAAACATGCTTGTATACACAATGTTAACAGGATAATAATTACGCACAAACGTAATACGCGATTAAAGATAGTCCGTTTTAGAGGTCTCTCACACTCCAATCAACTACGCGCTTTCCCTTCTTATCAGAATTGGGTCTACGAATATTGAATAATAACAGAACCATACATGAATAGCGCCAATTTATAGTGCAGCCTTAAGCTCGACTGTAGAAAACGGAAAGCTGTTCTGTTTCAATCTCAGTGCTGCTTTCCTACCTCAGTTTAATACTAAAGAAGTAAATGAAATGATATCCTACTCAGGAGTGGTAATTGGGAATGAGTCTGAAGCCGCGGCGTTTGGAGATGCTCACAGTCTTACTGATAAAACCATTCATGCAGCAGCCAGGTATATAGCTGACTTACCATTTGTTGATGGAAAAAAGCGTAAACGATTGGTCATTGTAACACAAGGGAAAGATCCCATAATATATACGGATTCTACTGACCCTACCGTTCATCAATATGTTGTAGAGCAGTTGAAAGACGAAGAAATGGTAGATACAAATGGAGCTGGCGATTCCTTTGCCGCCGGATTTATTGCAGATTATATACGTGGTAAGCCAATGATCACGTCGCTGCAGTCCGGTGTGAGAGCTGCAGCTTATATTATACGTAGATCTGGCTTTTCCTTAGGTTCGAGAGAGTCTAGTGCATTCAAAATAAATTTATAAAACAGAACCAAACTTACCTTAATTATCTCTAGTGCCATATTAAATAAGCATGGAACTCCTGGTAAAATGAAGATATTTTTCACTTTGACAATAGGATAAGAGCTTTCACTATCCATCTGGATTCCTGTTGCATATAGTAATTCAGATGACTCCGGTATTTTGGCAAGTTTGGTTATGGGGTCTGAAGAGGAAATCATATTCGGTTCTGATAGTCTCCTGAGGGTTTGTAAGAACTTTGGATGAATGATAATCTTTTCATTTAGTGCCTTTGCAACACCTTCATATGTCACATCATCGTGAGTAGAACCTATACCCCCCGATGTTATTACGTAGTCGTAACGGTTCATATAGTTGCGAACTTCCTCTGCGATAGCATCTGAGTCATCGGGAATAACAGAAATCTACATTAGGGTGTTATCTTGTGCACTTAAGTTACCTTCCGAAGTTGTACACCAAAAAGCGGGGCAGTAAGGCATACTTGTCGTGAATTGGAATCTTTCGCTTTTCCATTCAGTATTTCGTCACCGATAACTGAAATTAGTTGTGGTTAAGGGAGATCTGTGAATAAACTAATCACTTGCAACAAATATTTTTTAGGTGTGACAAAGTCTCAAGTCCGGTGGCAGACACTATCTAAGAAGAATGTACAGTTTCTTGATGTGGGTTCGTGTAGCTCGTGAAATATGTGTCATCGGGATAATGCGTGCCTAGCGTTCCATAGTTAGAGCGAATCTGTGTACATAACAATGGGAAACCTTAAGTTTCACGAGATATGAACCTGTGTCGATCAATATACTGTAGGAACACGCTAGTTCGACTATTGGGAGGATTGTATATCTGAGTAGCTAGGTACATTTTGAGGACATGTGGTAAGTTTCGGATTTCCGAAGTCAAATAGAGCATGCTGAAATATTTGGTCACTGATGTAACTATATTAGGAAGCTAGGTAGTCAATAGGAGAAACAGCTCTAAACAGTGCAATAGCTCGGCATATAATTCGTACCGAGCATACTACCAATATTCCACAATCCTTTCAAATCGTTAGCAGAAAAAAACACGTAGGGTCTCTCTGGTTTTCCGAAGCACCAACAATAAAAAAATTAAAACCTGACTTGTCTATCCACAATGAGACAATAATCAACTTATTTCTACCATGGTAAAATATTTCTTTTATTATCATCATTTTATTAGCGTTTATTTTGTTATGTGGTCTTCGCTAAACTAACTCTTATTTTATGTAAACTAAAATTATCCGTTTATTCGTGTGGTCTTTATTCACTTAATGCTCCTGTATAAACTTCAAATCCTGTTCAATTATTACATAACCTGCCTTATTAACTTCTAATTCCTGTAATTATATTTAAACCCTTCAACACCTGAAATTATCGCAGTCTTATCTGTCTCCGGACCTCATTTAATTACTGCTCATTCCCTCCCCGAATGATTTTGAATTCCATTTTCCAATGAACTCACACCTGTCATTGTACAGACATATATATAGTATTGGCAAGACTTGTCATTTTAATTCTTTCCGTCATCAAAGTCTAATGTTTCCCATTATATCATACCTTAATGCCAACTTTTACTACATATATGGTTGTAAGCAGCTGATGCTAAACCACAAAATATAATGAATTCATATTCTGCCTCAATCGTTGTTTTAGCTTTATTCAAACTAGTGAAGAACATTAGGGCTTACAAGCGGAAATATGTAGGAGACCTGAGAACGACAGCAGAAAAGTTTGCAAAAGAAGGAATTATATAAGAACTACATGACACTATTAAAAAGCCAGTGGGGAAAGAAAAGCAGTACACAGACCTCCCTACAGATATTGCTTCCCCAACAGCAAGAGATATTAGCAAGGCAACCATATAAACCAGTAATGCCAAAGTACCATAACCAGAGAGCATACCAGGTGAAACCACTAAGGAGTACCTGAGATAGTCACCGCCATACGGAACTCCTATGAGCCTTCATTGGAAAGTCGTGTATGGGGGACACCTCACTGATGCATTCTCAGTGTACACTTGTTTTAGATAAGACTGCCTACTCTCACCTGTTCTCTTTGTGCTAGTTGCTGACGAGAATATGAAGATCTCCACAGTTCATGATAAGCACGGAATACAATGAGGACTGAAGGCGTAGCTGAGTGATTTTAATTCTGCAGATGAATCGGTCTTCCTGTCCTATACACAGCGGTAAACAAGAACGACTACAGCTAGTGTAGAAGAAGATTTCGCAGAAATAAGCCTCAATATTAACAAGGAAAGAAGCACGAACCTAAAGTATGACACAGAGTAGCATGTTAGCTCAACCTATGTCGGTTTTCTTGACGAAGTGGGGATTATTGTCTCTGTGTAGTAGTGCTACTGAGTAGCAATTGGAAAGGAAATCTCGAGACAAAGTCCCTTGGAGGTTCACAGCTAGCGACGTATGTAGGCAAATACCTCTTGAGATGAATAACAGGGTTACGCTATAAGTAGAAAAAACCACTGGAGTGAGGAGGAACGTTACGACACTACTATTTAGGACCATGTTGGCGCTAATCTGTTGTCTGCATTATGCTCAGTGGGTGAGACTGTAATTTGTGGACAGCCTGTGAGCGATGCTAAAATGATCTTGGGGAAACTCGGTCACTTGCTTAGGTCAAACGAAGGTTATACATTAGTGGCGAAACATGATCGCGATCTCCAGCTAGATAGGTTTATTGCTCAAATATAAGGTTATTATTACGAAATGACATCAGCAATAATGCCAAAATTATATATAAGCAAACAGATAAGTGAAATTCGTGCAACAATCCAACTATAGTTGGTATACCAACTCTAATCTCGTAAGTCATAGTCCCACTGTGCAACACTAAGCTGATAGAGTCGCTTTCAGTTACTGAAAAGGTTAGAACATCTTTGGACCGTACAATTAGATACCTATGAGACCGAGGGATTTGGGAGATACCATTTTTAGCGCGCAAGACATAGTAGTCACACACCGCGCCATGACCTTCAGCTGGACAACAGACCCACATTGGAGAAGACCGAAGGCCCGTAGGCCTGCGTTAATCCTGCTAATTGTGTTATCTCAGTTGATCTGACTTTCTTTTGAAGGAGGTCAACAGATGGGGCTTCAGACACGTGTTACGGTAACTAATTCTTATTAACGATGATCCAAGGTTAGTTTCGGTTTCGGTTTCGTAAGGACAGGAGGCTTGGTAGCTTGTGTTAGTCCTGGCAATGGTGATCCCTCAGTTGATCCAACTTTCTTCCGAAAGGGTCGACCGATGGAGCCTCAATCACATGCTGAGGTAATGAATTCCACGCGTTGATGATTCGATGTGAAAGTCGATAGTCAGCTGACAAGTAATTTGTTCTAGACTTGTGAACATTTTTGGAGTGTCCTCGTAAGTTCTCTGTTTTGGAAGTCAAGAAAATGAGGGCATATCAGGTGCAGATTTATCACTAAGCAATTTGAAAACTATGGTCAAGTCGCCTCTAGTTCTACGATATGACAACGGGAATAGGTGTAGCTTGGCCAGTCGAGCATCATACGGAAGCTTCGCTATTCCGGCAATCAGCTTAGTTTCTGTTTTCTGAACCTCTTCCAAAAGCTCACTCTTTTTTAAGCAGGGGCTAGCCGCTTGTATGCAGTACTCAAGTTTAGGACGTACGAACACAGCCTACAAATTCAAAGAAGTTTTAGCGTCGACATGACTAAAAGCCCTAGGTATTGACCACAAGGTTCTAAAGCCTTTGGCGGATATTGTGTGGCAGTGTCTTGGCTAACGATGACTCCCAAGTCACTAATGTGTCTGGACAACATATAGCTCAGTGTTATTCATGGTTTATGTATCCGTACCTTGATGACCGATATGCATCACAACACACTTGGAAGTATTTATCGGCAACTGCCAGGTCTGAGACCATTCAGATCATTTCTTCAGGTCATTTTGGAGTTCTAAGCTACCACCCTTACATCGTATCGTTCTCCGTATTTTGACATCGTCAGCATATAGCAAGAGCGATGATGATAGGAGACGAGGAAGGTCATTTACATACAAGAGGAATAGCACTGGCCCCAAAACTGTACCCTGTAGCACTCCACTAAACACAGTTTCTCAGCTAGATAACTTTGAGTTCACCCGTCAAAAGCTTTGCTGAAATCAATATGGGCTACGTCTACTGGTAACTTTTGGTCCTTAAGAGCGCATCAGCTTTCACGAGCGACTAATAAGTTAGTGAGACAAGTTTCTTCTGTACCCCGTTTTCTAAATGGTATCCAGCAGGAAACGCCTAGAAGTCGCAGTCGCAAGGCTCGATCGGTTTCTAGCGGGAAACATAACCTGACCTCCCAAATCGTCGACAACCCTCCGGAATCCCACAGTATGCTTGACGCAACTGTGGTTGCTTCTCCTAGCAGCGTTGACGAGTGGGCACATGTTGTAAGGAAGAAACAACATAGCGATATAAAAGGGAATCCTCCTGCCATAAAGTTGGCCGAGAAATCGAAGGCTGATCACAGTGACAGATCAGTTATTTTTCATAGAATGAAGGAGAGTGAAAGCTCCGAACCAAAAACTCGATTTCAGCATGACATTGTGCTGATAAAACAGCTACTTAATCAACTCATGTATACTAGTGATGTTTCGGAACCCTACGAAACACTGAAACGATCAGTCACGTGTTGCGGTAATTAATTCTTTTTGTCGATGATCCAAGGCTAAAGTTTATAGTCAACTGACAAGTAATTTGTTTTGAGTGTGAATATATTTAGGGTGTCCTCGCAAATTCTCTGTAATGCAAGCGACAAAAAGTAAAAGTATGTCAAATGCAAATTATTCGCTAGGTAATTTAAAAACTTTCATCATGTCACTTCTAGTTCCTTTTCCTGCAAATGGAATCAGGTTCAGTTTAGTCAGTCGATCTCCATATGAGAGCCTTTCTATTTGAGGTAACTACTATGTTGCGGTTTTTTGAATATTTTCTAATAGCTCATTGTCTTTTTTAGACAAAAGCTAGCCGTTTATATGCAGTTCTTTACCATCGACATTATTGTGGGGTAACTGTGCCCTAGCAAAATCATCCGCAGTCAAGCCACTGAATATCGAACAGTTCACCGATACTCTTCAAAATCAAGGACAGCCAATTACTTACTTACTTACGCCTGTTACTCCTAATGGAGCATAGGCCGCCGACCAGCATTCTCCAACCCACTCTGTCCTGGTCCTTCTTTTCTAGTTCCATCCAATTCTTGTTCATTTTTCTCATGTCTGTTTCCATTTCTCGGCGTAATGTGTTCTTTGATCTTCCTCTTTCCCTTTGGCCTTGAGGATTCCATGTGAGGGCTTGTCTTGTGACTCAGTCGGGTGCTTTCCTCAATGTGTGTCCTATCCACTTCCAGTGCTTCTTCCTGATTTCTTCCTCCGCTGGGATCTGGTTTGTTTTCTCCCACAGCACGTTGTTGCTAATAGTGTCCGGCCAACGGATCTGAAGTATTTCGCGTAGACAACTGTTAATAAACACCTGTATTTTCTGGATGATGGCTTTCGTAGTTCTCCAGGTTTCTGCCCCATACAGTAGAACTGTCATGACATTCATATTGAAAATCCTGACCTTGGTGTTGGTTGACAGTTGCTTTGAGTTCCAGATGTTCCTCAGTTGTAAATATGCTGCTCTTGCTTTGCCGATCCGCGCCTTCACATCTGCATCAGATCCACCCTGTTCATCAATGATGCTGCCCAAATATGCAAAGGTTTTCACATCTTCCAATACGCATCAGTTAATCGCACGTCATGAACTGACTCAAGCGGTGGTGGTCGTGCACTCTTCCTTGTACCTACTCTTGCTGATAGTTCCGTAAGTCTTCGACATTTGATGCTGACTGAATTAGTTTCACTGGAAACACTCATAGATTACCGACGTATGTGATCTGTGTTGAATAATTTGGGGCTAACTCAAGTTAGGCGGGAATGTCGTGAACAACCAGCCAACTTTGAAGTCACGCTTCGCGGTCAGTACTCATTGTGCGTACTCTTTCGACGTATCCAAATACTATGGCCGCTCTAGTGATCGTACGATGCAAACGACCTGTGATGCGTTTAGTGATGAGCCCGACGTGATCTGGCACACCTGATTGCAGACTGTGACTGGTCCTTTTTGGAACTTTATGTATCATTTCTTTACTTTGATGTTTATCTGTTTTGATGTTGTTTGAATCGTCAATGTCCTAACTATGGATATATTGAGGTTTATTAGAGTTTTATGTTTTATGTAGTCTCATGAGTTCTAAAGTGTGGATAAACAGTGTATCTAAATACTACAGCATTTCTGAGAGTTTATATTGATCATTTTTTCTCAAAAGAATAGTTTTGTGTCACTTCAATTCGTAGTATATTTCTACAAATGTACTGGTGATATTAGTAGAGCCTCATTAATCTCCCGAAGAGCTGAAGTTGGCTAAGAACGAACTTGACAACATGATAGGCTTGGAAATCATCATCAGGCCTTTCGATCTCTACGCAAGTCTGCACATGATTTTCGGCTTAAGAAACGCTGTACAAACATTCCAGAGATTCATCGATGGAGTTTTGTGGGGTATCAACTTCGCAGATGTGCATGTTGATGACTGCTTGATTGTAAGTCCAGACGGAGAATCTCGTCTCCAGCACCTGGACCTTGTCTTCGAACGACTGCAAGAACACGACATTACTGTAAACATCCAGAAATGTGAAGCCAGCACCGACTTTCTAGATTTTCTCGGGCAAACCATTGATGCTCAAGGCATCCGACCTCTAAAAAGCAAAGTGGCAGCTATTCTGGACTACCCAGAGCCGACTACAATAAGGCAACTACGCACGTTCAACGGCCTAGTAAATTTCCGCAAGTGGTCCATACCAAAATGCGCGTCTTTTATGAGACATTTGACTGACCAACTTGGTGGAAATTCGAAATCCATCGATTTGGAAAATAACACGAAAAAGCGTTCTCTGTAGTTGAGGAACTTATCGCCAAATCAACATTGTTTGCATACCTATACACTGAAGCACCCATTAGTATCGCGGTAGACGCATCCGACTCGGCAATCGGAGGAGTCTTACAAAATAGGTAAACCACAACTGACGACCTTTGCCATACTTCTCGAGACGGCTGCTAGACATCGAATCGAGGTGTAGCATTTTCGGTAGGGAACTCCTAGCCATGCGTCTTGTTGCACGGCACTTTCAAAACTGTGTGTAACTCTGCGTGCATGTAGTTACTCTTCGTGCTATTGATAAGAGAAACCAGACTAGTTATAAAGAGGTCTTTATTTTGATCTTTGCACAGTCACGGTGAAGTGTGGGATTCCCTGCCCAGACAAACAATGCTTTTCAACATTCAATAAAATATAATAGAAAATATGGTGTCCATACAAATTAAGGAAGTGAATGAATATCTGAACTATACTGGTTTGACATATAATTAGTTGTTTGAGTTCAACTCTCAACCAATCAACCTAAGCTGTTACGTTAGCTTACCCTAGAATCGACTTCCTTAGGAACGTTGGTTCGATTAACCTGTCTATCTAAAACACCTGAATCCTGTTCCCGCAGCCCAAGGGAGAATTATCAATTCCCACAGTGTTTGAAGTCCAATCAATGACGAAAGACGTCGTCAGCAATCAACGATAGGCTATGGATATCTCTTCATTTGCTAGTTTATTATCCTATTTTTTAGCATTTAATTTCTTGTAAAACGGTCGCTGACGGTTTGCTGTGTCTTTATGCCCACTTTTATCACGTGATTTATTCGCCAATCGAAATGCGACTTATTTGCTCTTGTACTGGACTAAACTAATGACGTCCGACCGTTCTGATCAGCCTAGCGTCCTTATTGGTCCTTTGGTTGCCTAGCCCATCCAACTGAGTCCAGAATGCCAATAACAGCCTCCAATATGCGAATCATTTATTTCAGAAATACTGGGTTTATATATATACCAAACAGACC